TTTGGTTAGCAGTAACCAAAAAGCATTGTGAGACTCTTCCAATATTCAAAACAAAACAAAAAAATCAAGACATTGTGTGACTGTAGTGGTTGCATTTGTTCATAGTAAAGGTAACTTAAGTCCTCCAAACTGATTTCACAGAGACAAGCACTTAGTCACTATCCTGACAAACTTCAGATTAAGGAGGCTCTTAAAAACAAAAATATTGCATTAATATTTCAGTGGTTAATATCAGGTGTCATAATTAGTTTGCAGAAGCCTTTAATTAATTTAGGACATTACCAGGCTATGAAATAAAACCAAGTCTGTACTATAGCACGTGCATGTTTCTATGCACTTACCTGTAGTTTGATCCACAAGCACACGCGAGTTGATGATGCGCCCAAAACGGGAGAACATATCTTCAACATCTTTCTGTGTCATTGACCTTGGCAGTCCACTAATGTATAAGTTAGCATCTTTGATAACTTCAGAACTCGGACGAGCATAGGAAACCTATTAAAAAATAATGTATTTGGTCACAAAAGACTCACATTCACCTCCTGCTAATAATACAGGTAATTCTCCTATTAGCGTTCAGGAGATGGGAAGGGGTAAATGACACAGAAAATTCTCATTTCCTGTTCTGGTAAACATATCTATATAATTTCATTCATTCTGGGCTTAGCAGATAGTTAGACAGGGGTATCACTATAAAGAGACAGCAATAGACAATACCAGTGTTTCCAACAAACTTACCATCAAAGAAATATGACGAAAACCACCTGTCTAAAGTCCTGAATTCGATACCAGGCCCATTAGTGACCACAAGTTGCACCAGCTTGTATATTTTAAATATTTAAAAGTCCATTAAAGAGAATTTACAAGCCAGAGTGCAATTTTCTATCTTAACTTGTGATCACATTTAATTATGTGATCTTCAGGACACACAGTACTCCCTGGTATGTGCTTCTTGGATCCTTGACAATTTCTGTGCTTTAAATCATGGAAAGACAGTGCATGCATATTACTAACAAGAGTTCCAAAGCTGGTCAACAATATGGAATAATCTCACCTACCACCCTAAAAACTGAATACAAAACTGTTACAAACCCTGAGTACCTTAATGGTTCATTTCACTGTCTTTCACATTTCGCTTTTCTCCTACGTGAACAGCAAAAAGCTTTCCACCAGAATGAATTAGCATGCAAAATACATTACAGGTTTATTATAATGCCATTTTCAGAGAAGATGGAAGAATCTGTATATCCTACCTTGATGGTTTTTGACTGGAGTCTGAGACCATTCAGTGTGTTTATTGCTCTTTCAGCATCTTTTGCAGTCACATAGTTTACAAAGCCATAGCCTAAGCTGTGTCCTACAAGGAAGGACATTTTTTAAATTAATCCAAACAAAAAATAAATTTATCACCTTCAAAATAAAACGATATGTAACAGGCAAAAGACATTAAGAGCAGAAAAAAAA